CACACACAAGCCAGGTAACACACAAAAACCAGGTAACACACAGCAGTTAGCTGAAGGAGCCAAAGTCGTTTCCTTCAAACAATCAAATAGTAAAGGCCCCCTTAAAACGTCAGTGACGCCCTTGACCTACGATGCTAGATTCATATGTGTGTAGATCAAGGGGGAGGTCGCTGTTGTTTTTACTCTCTGTGACCCGTGTGTGATTTATGTCAATAACGCACGTTTTAACTCATTGTCATTTCAATGTCACTGATTTTTCTGGGGATGTTCATTTAAAGAAATATGTAACGGTTCGTAGTTGACTTTGGAAACATAAGTAATATATGTTGGTTATGCTGGAGACACGCAATGTCCTGGGACTGACTGAGACAACTAGGACTTCTTCAATAACGGTTCGGAGTTTTGAGTACCTTTCTTAGGAATCTTCAACAGATCCCACCCCCCACCCACCACCACCCTCCGGTGCTATAATACATGGTCTATAGGTCCATGAACCCAGGCGGAGAGCTACCCGACGAGTATACAAAAGGGCTGCTATCCAACTCACCAACCAAGGACAGACTCCCTTCTCCATAAGCGCCTTTAATCAAGATACTGTATCTGTTGTAAGCGTCTTCTAAATCAAGTGCCACTGCCACCGTTTCCTGTCTGTAGAAACCTTCATAGGTATCAAAGGCAAAAGTGGCTGCATTTGACCATGTGTCCTTCCCCTACCGGTAACTTCCCAATCTTCGTGAAAGATTTATCTGTTCCAAAAACTCTTGTAGCTTACCTACTATTTTCCCCAGCACTTTACCAATGGTGTCTTGTCGGGTTATGATCCTAAAGCCGCCGAGTGTTGCATGATTCTTGCCAGGCTTAGGAAGTGGAATCAGGTAGCTGTGCATCCACTCTTGTGGGACTGAAGCTGTACTAATGCTCTGGTTGCGGCAAGCAGGAATCTGCAGTTTCACCTGTACTATTCAATGTTTTTACGAGCAAGATTGCCTGCCTGGAAACACCTGCAGTTGGCAGAATATTGACATTCGCAGATGATGTTCTCGTATACAGGAAGGGGAGAGATCGGAATCAAATAGCTGAAGAGTTACAGGCAACAGTAGATAAGGTGATCGACTGGTGTATAGAGATGAGTACTGTAATCAACCCAGAAAAAGGCAACCGTCCTGTGATGTTCTTTGGACATCAGGATTGTTAGAGCTGATGTTCCAATACTCAAAATAAATGGCAGGGGCATCGAAAGAGACAGCAGACTGCGGTACCTGGGAATCACCTGTAACAGAAGTATGTCTTTCAGGGATCACATAGAGGGGGTTGTGACAAGGGCTCAAAAAGGTCTAAATGCATTAAAGATTATGACAGGGATGGACATGGAGCAGAGAAAGCTGTTCACACTTTACCAGGACTTAAATATCTCACTGATTGATTATGGATCGGGGATACTCACTGTCTGGAAGAGTCCGCTAGAGAAACTGGAGCGCGTACAGAATGAAGCTCTACGGCTGATCCTGTGTTGAACAAGAGACACCCCGATAGTGTGCATGCGATACATCCTTGCATTGCCGACTATTGCAGACAGGCTAAAGGTGATGTAGGCGAAGTCATACCTCAGGGTAGCTGCAGGCAGGGAACACCCTCTGATGCTGAAAGGGGGAAAATCGTGGATGGCTCAAGCAGAAGACACAATAAGACAATTATGCATGCTGGAGAACATTGAGCGAGGAGAGGAGTGGGTCAGAGTACCAGCGGAAAAGTCTGACCTGTGTAGGGTTATATTCACATTGGGCCGAGTGTGCAGAGAGTGGCCAGCGGGTGCTACAGAGGTTGAAGTCCTACAGTTGATTCACGACAATTCACGCCTCTCTGGGATCAAACGGACAGTTCAACAGAACATGACTCTTCGCTGGCTATTGACGAGGGAGACGGAGCGCCTGTGGGAATGTCCCGAGCGCAGGGATGTCAATTATTCATTCATTCATGAGGTCACATGATACTGACACGTGATGTTATAAAGCAACTATTGTATTTATTACATGGAAATAGACAGTATTGATATCATACATTTGTGCGCTACTGAACAATACCGTCAGCGGGAAATAATAGCCACTTTGTTTTATTTTAAATATTGCCTCTCCCTTCCCTCTTTTTATTTAACTACCGGAAAGCATCATGCAATTGGACAAAAAAGCCAGTTTTCAGATGCCAGACCAAGATCAACTGCCCCCTTCCTTCCCCCAAACGTTAAAGTATATCACATAGTTACACAGGCTACACAAAGTAACTTTCTATACAGTCAGTAAGGGATACCCTGGTTCGGACCCTGCAAATATCGACTTGCCGTCTAAATGGCTAAAGAACCATACACAGGACTCCACGCCAACAGGAAGTGTGTTGTGGCAGGTGATAAAGTGAGGCATCAAACTCTTTTCATCTCTGGACTGTTTTTATTTAGTTCATGTACTACAGGAATGGGTAACCTTTTGGGTAGATAGAAAAAATAGCTATATAGAAAAGAAATTCCAGAATAAATGTAAAACCCGGATTTCCTCATTCCATTTTTGTTGGATAATCTAAGATTATAATCCCTAACTATGCCTCTGGACAGATACACTCACCCTATGTAGGTCTTCTATATATTCAAAAATGTGGATGTTCATAGAAACAAGAAAAAGAGGAGTCGACGTGTTACATTTCATCCTCTAATTCCGCTGACAACACCATCTCCTATGTCTGAGTTTGTCTGCAACAGGCGTTTCACTAGCAGAATCAAAGATTTGGCGTCATCAGTTTCTGGCTAACACTGTTAGGTTATCATCTTTTAGGATGTCGATATCTGCATTTTTTGTTGCGCTCTTTCGTCAGCTCAAGGGCCAGATAATATAATAACTTATGCAAGCTTTGAGGGCCAGTGCTGACCTGCGAGCCATAAGCTGCCCAGCCATGGCCAGTGTTGACCTGCGAGCCATAAGCTGGCCAGTGTTGACCTGCGAGCCATAGGCTGGCCAGTGTTGACCTGCGAGCCATAGGCTGGCCAGTGTTGACCTGCGAGCCATAAGCTGGCCAGTGTTGACCTGCAAGCCATGAGCTGGCCAGTGTTGACCTGCGAGCCATAGGCTGCCCAGCCCTGGCCAGTGTTGACCTGCGAGCCAAAGGCTGGCCAGTGTTGACCTGCGAGCCATAAGCTGGCCAGTGTTGACCTACGAGCCATAGGCTGGCCAGTGTTGACCTGCGAGCCATAAGCTGGCCAGTGTTGACCTGCGAGCCATAAGCTGCCCAGCCCTGGCCAGTGAGCTGCCTCAACCGTGACTCGGATCCTGCTACAGGTTACTACTGGCATCACACGGGCACCGACATTACAAGAGCACTGACATCACAAGGGCACTGACATCACAAGGGCACCGACACACAAAGGGCACTGACACACAGAGGGCACTGACAACCAAAGGCACTGACACACAGAGTGCACTGACACACAAAGGCACCGACACACAAGGGCACCGACACACAGAGGGCACTGATACACAAGGCACCAACACACAGAGGGCACTGACACACAGAGGGCACTGACACACAGAGGGCACTGACACACAGAGGGCACTGACACACAGAGTGCACTGACACACAGAGGGCACTGACACACAGAGGGCACTGACAATGGTAGTTGTCTGCACTGCTCAAGAACTTTCCAGGCTCAAATTGGACTAATCAGCCACCCTCATACTCATAATCATTGGATGAAAGGTGGTCTTGATCACTGACGAACAACGTTCTCATTAAAAAGTGTTCCTTCCCCTACCAGTGATCACAGTCTAGTGTCAGTACCATGTCTGGTGGCGCTGCGTGGTCTCAGGTAAGGTGTCATTAAAAAGTGTTCCTTCCCCTACCAGTGATCACAGTCTAGTGTCAGTACCATGTCTGGTGGCACTGCGTGGTCTCCAGGTAAGTTGTCATTAAAAAGTGTTCCTTCCCCTTCCAGTGATCACAGTCTAGTGTCAGTACCATGTCTGGTGGCGCTGCGTGGTCTCCAGGTAAGGTGTCCGCCTCGATTGCTAGAGGTTCAGGTTCAATCCTTGGTAAGGGCTGAGATTTTTCACATGGACCTGAACTTCTATTAATTCCCCCTGGTCTCTGGGTAATGAGATCGGACGTCCGTGTACACTGTTGCGCATCTAAAAAAAATTCTTTGGCAGTTAGAAATCAGAAAGAGTAGCCTAATGGTGCTGCGCAGGCAAAATGTGGAGTTAAAAATCTACTCAAAGTATTTCAGGATCCTTGCCAGTGCTACAGAGCCTCTGCACTGTGCTGAAATTCTTTAGGATCAGACTTGAGTTAGAAGAAAGGATCACTTATGGGTTACTAACCTTGTGACATGATGCTGATCCATTGTTCAAACCTCAAACCTCTACCCAGTCTTGCAACCTGTCAATACTGTTGTCAAAGATGGCAAGAATGTTAAGCACATGGCACAGTTATTGTAATTGTTATCATGCTTTTGAGGATTTCATTTGAAGTGCCCCTGTACATGCTTTCTCTGTCTTTATCTTTCCTGAGTCTTGCCACTGTCTGCATTTTTCCACTGTCTTTATACTTCCTTTTTACAAACTGCATTCACAAAGTAAACAATCTGGCAATGTTGAGAATGTAATATTACTGTGAGTAAACGCATGTTGATCAAAATGTTTTGTACAATTGCTAAAATGTTTAGGTTTGTTAACAAGTGCCAAAATGTTTAAGTTTGGTAACAGTTGCCAAAGTTTGGTAATAACTGACAGAATGTATTAATAAGACTGTAAATGGCACAGAATAATATATTTTGTTCAGAAACATGAAATAATTTATGCACAACAATTGAAGAAACAAGAGTTATAGTCCCTGGAAAATCGTTGCAAATGATAATATTTTTACAAATTATGCACCGTTAATTATCATCAGCAGCAAGGATAGGGTTGCATCAGGCGTTGTTATTCTGCAACCAGGACAGGGTTGGGTTGCATCAGGCGTTGTTATTCTGCAACCAGGACAGGGTTAACATGGCCACCATTATAAATGCTGGCATCTTTTACAGGCTCCATGTTGCCGATGATGTACAACTCATCCCGCTCTGGGTGAATGAAATAGCCAGATGTGTAATACTGGTCCAGTGTGAACTCTGGCTTTTTGCAGGTGGCTATCACCAGAATGACAAATGATAGAAATCCAAAGGCGTCGGCGATGATGCAGAGAATAAAACACCAGCCAGCAAACCAAGTGTCGTTTTTAGCAATCTGCGCTGCGTACACCAGGAAACCAATTAAATTGCAAATCGCTGAAAAGATACAGAACAAAATTACCATTACAAATATATTTCAAATGGACGTTTATTCCATTTAACTTCCAAAAATTATTTTCTTTACTGTGTTCTACGGTCTATTATCAACAGCACCAATCACCATTTATATCATTGCCTATCAACTGCTAAGCACAATAAATTGACCAAACTCTGTCCCACACCACCCACTCTCTCCTCATCTTGCAGGTGCTGACAACCGGGTTGTCTGTATATCTCCGGACCTCCCCCTGTCCACATCCAAGATATTGGTCCTCATCAAGGGCCTCCAATTCAGGCCCTAACGCTCTTCTAGCGAACAATACACTCTCTTTCAGGACGCTCACAACTTTTTTCGCAGGCTCAGGTTGCAATATGAACACAGCACCCGACCTGAGAGAACCAGTGCACCTGTGCCTACTAACTCTACGGTTTGGTTTCCGACACCTAGGTCTTCCTGGACTCCTAACTCTTTTTGAGATCAATAAATTGAAATTCTAACCTCTCCCGCACTCTAACCTCTCACCTCAAGAACTTCAGGCACTCACACGATTGAAATGTCATGATAAAATTATGATCAAACCTGCCGACAAGGAAAGGGAGATAGTTGTCTGGAGAAAAGATTTATATCTGCAAGAAGGGGACAGGCAACTTAGTGACGCACCTTCCTATGAACCCCTGACACAGAATGTTACGGTAAAAAACAACGAAATAGTAAAAACTAGCATCACAAACTTCATCCAGGAAGATCTTCTGCCTGCCCGAGCCAGCTCTCTATTTGTCAAGGACAGTTGTCTGGGGAAGCCTGGCCTTCACATTCTTCCCAAGATACATGAACTGGACAGTCCAGGTAGACCGATCGTGCCTGCCCGAGCCAGCTCTCTATTTGTCGAGGACAGTTGTCTGGGGAAGCCTGGCTTTCACATTCTTCCCAAGATACATGAACTGGACAGTCCAGGTAGACCGATCGTGTCCGCCTGTGCTTGTCCCACAGAGCTCATATCCTGGTTCCTCGATCGTATTTTGCAGCGCCTGGTCGTTGATTTCCCATCTAACATCGAAAATTCCAACCATGCTAGCTCTATCTTTCAATCTACGTGATTCACCTCTTCTTCTAGGTACCACATCTTCAGCTTTGAAGTTACCTCCCTCTTCACCTCATTTCGACATTCGGATGGCCTCCAGGCTTTGCAGTTCTTTCTAGATCAAAGAGTCAGTCCTGCCATAGCCCTTGATTCCCCTTGATTCGTCTGGCCGAGTTAGTGCTCACTCTAAACTCGTTCAAGTTTAATGGCCAGTATTTCAACCAGATCAGCGGTGTCGCTACTGGTACCAAGATGAGACCCAGCTATGCCTGCCTTTTCATGGGGCACCTCGAGCACCAGATACGTCATGCATATACCGGTAGGCACCTCGAGCACCAGATACGTCATGCATATACCGGTAGGCTCCCCGAGCACCAGATACGTCATGCATATACCGGTAGGCTCCCCGAGCACCAGATACGTCATGCATATACCGGTAGGCTACCTCGAGCACCAGATACGTCATGCATATACCGGTAGTCTCCCCGAGCACCAGATACGTCATGTATATACGGGCAGGCTCCCCGAGCACCAGATACGTCATGCATATACCGGTAGGCTTCATCGAGCACCAGATACGTCATGCATATACCGGTAGGCTCCCCGAGCACCAGATACGTCATACATATACCGGCAGGCTCCCCGAGCACCAGATACGTCATGTATATACGGGCAGGCTCCCCGAGCACCAGATACGTCATGCATATACCGGTAGGCTCCCTGAGTACCAGATACGTCATGCATATACCGGTAGGCTACCTCGAGCACCAGATACGTAATGCATATACTGGTAGGCTACCTTGAGCACCAGATACGTCATGCATATACAGGTAGGCTCCCCGAGCTCCAGATACGTCATGCATATACCGGTAGGCTACCTTGAGCACCAGATACGTCATGCATATACCGGTAGGCTCCCCGAGCACCAGATACGTCATGCATATACCAGTAGGCTCCCCGAGCACCAGATACGTCATGCATATACCGGTAGACTCCCCGAGCACCAGAGACGTCATGCATATACCGGTAGGCTACCTCGAGCTCTACAGGAAGTCTACTGATGATTACATCGGTGTCATCGATATGCCTCTTACTGAACTGTAGAACTTCATTTATTTTTTCTCCAACTTTCATTCCATCATCCGATGCACTTCTTGCATCTCACCTTCGTCGGTGCATTTTCTGGATCTCACTGTCACTCTACAGACCTCAGCACCTGGGTGTACCATAAGCCTCAGCACCTGGGTGTACCATAAGCCTCAGCACCTGGGTGTACCATAAGCCTCAGCACCTGGGTGTACCATAAGCCTCAGCACCTGGGTGTACCATAAGCCTCAGCACCTCGGTGTACCATAAGCCAACTGATTCCCACGCTTTTCTTCTCTACAGACATCTTTTGGATATGCAAAATGGTGCCCTGAAACCAGTACCGTTGCACTTCAATTCCCAGGATCACCAAGGTGTCCTCGACATGGAGGTGACAGCTTTTAAATCTAGCCACTTCAGCGACAGAGCGCTCAAGTCTCTCTCTTGAGAATCGCTTTATTTACACTTTGGGTAATTTAACACCCTCCGGAGTGAATTGCCAACACAGTTTCATTTAAACTCCAGGGGATTGAATTGCCTTCACAGTTTTAGTTTAAACCCCTTAGTTATGGCCCCTGGTACTCCAAAGGGGGTAATTATTCTCCTGTCCCACGCGTGTCAGCAGTCTGCTGGGAAATCATCGATCCGGCTGCTTCGAGATACCAGCTAAGGGATTTGGTGTATTTGTGTAGCATTGTTTGATTTGTATATGCTGATGAAGGCTCCATAGCCGCAACGTTCCTGTATTGTTAGTATTTGTAATATTGTGAAGCTTGCTAATATACTTTTTGTTCGGTTTAAATCTTTTCCAAATATATTTCAGACACACAAGAAGCAGAATGAATTCTACTGATTACTGTAAGTAGTAGTACGGATCTGCACTAAATAGGTGAGACAGGGACCTGCACCAAACAGACAGAATATGGACCTGCCCCAAACAGACAGAATATGGACCTGCCCCAAACAGACAGAATATGGACCTGCCCAAACAGACAGAATATGGACCTGCCCAAACAGACAGAATATGGACCTGCACTAAACAGATGAAACAGGAACCTGTACTAAATAGCACTGTGTCACTAACATCCCAACATTGTTGTGTGACTCACTTCCCAACAGTGTTGTGTGACTCACCTCCCAACAGTGTTGTGTGACTCACTTCCAAACAGTGTTGTGTGACTCACCTCCCAACAATGTTGTGTGACTCACTTTCCAACAGTGTTGTGTCACTCACCTCCCAACAGTGTACTGTGACTCACCTCCCAACAGCGTCAGTGCTGTCATGGTGCCTAGCAAGCAGCGGTAGTAAAGTCCCAGGGCCACATAGATGTAGACGGGGATGATAACCAATGGGATGGCCCAGAAAATGATGGCCAGGGACTCCATGGCTCGAACAGCATCCAGCCAGTCTGGCAACAATAAACAAAGCCATGTTTAACATAGGAATTTTTATTCATGTACACATAAACACATACATAAACACATACATAAAAAAAACATAAACACATACGCAAACACATAAAAATACATACATAAACACAAACACATACACAAACACATACAAAAACACATACAAAAAACACATAAATAACCATATATGTACAGTCATAAGTATGTATGCATGCACTTGTTCTTCTTCCTTGGCCATCTTCTAGTGCAGCATAGACACTTGCTCCAAGCTGGACTAACCTTGCAGTCAGATGTAGCTCTCTCCAGTCTTTACTATCAGATGGAGCTCTCTCTCCAGTCTTTACTGTCAGATGTAGCTCTCTCTCCAGTCTTTACTGTCAGATGTAGCTCTCTCTCCAGTCCTTACTGCCAGATGTAGCTCTCTCTCCAGTCTTTACTGCCAGATGTAGCTCTCTCTCCAGTCTTTACTGTCAGATGTAGCTCTCTCCAGTCTTTACTGTCAGATGTAGCTCTCTCTCCAGTCTTTACTGTCAGATGTAGCTCTCTCTCCAGTCTTTACTGTCAGATGTAGCTCTCTCTCCAGTCTTTACTGCCAGATGTAGCTCTCTCTCCAGTCTTTACTGCCAGATGTAGCTCTCTCTCCAGTCTTTACTGTCAGATGTAGCTCTCTCTCCAGTCTTTACTGCCAGATGTAGCTCTCTCTCCAGTCTTTACTGTCAGATGTAGCTCTCTCCAGTCTTTACTGTCAGATGTAGCTCTCTCTCCAGTCTTTACTGTCAGATGTAGCTCTTTGTCCAGTCTTTACTGTCAGATGTAGCTCTCTCTCCAGTCTTTACTGTCAGATGTAGCTATCTCCAGTCCTAACTGTCAGATGTAGCTCTCTCTCCAGTCTTTACTGTCAGATGTAGCTCTTTCTCCAGTCTTTACTGTCAGATGTAGCTCTTTGTCCAGTCTTTACTGTCAGATGTAGCTCTCTCTCCAGTCTTTACTGTCAGATGTAGCTATCTCCAGTCCTAACTGTCAGATGTAGCTCTTTGTCCAGTCTTTACTGTCAGATGTAGCTCTCTCTCCAGTCTTTACTGTCAGATGTAGCTCTCTCTCCAGTCTTTACTGTCAGATGTCACTCTCTCTCCAGTCTTTACAGTCAGATGTAGCTCTCTCTCCAGTTTTTACTGTCAGATGTAGCTCTCTCCAGTCTTTACTGTCAGATGTAGCTCTCTCTCCAGTCTTTACTGTCAAATGTAGCTCTCTCTCCAGTCTTTACTGTCAGATGTAGCTCTCTCTCCAGTCTTTACTGTCAGATGTAGCTCTCTCTCCAGTCTTTACTGTCAGATGTAGCTCTCTCTCCAGTCTTTACTGTCAGATGTAGCTCTCTCTCCAGTCTTTACTGTCAGATGTAGCTCTCTCTCCAGTCTTTACTGTCAGATGTAGCTCTCTCTCCAGTCTTTACTGTCAGATGCAGCTCTCTCTCCAGTCTTTACTGTCAGATGTAGCTCTCTCTCCAGTCTTTACTGTCAGATGTAGCTCTCTCTCCAGTCTTTACTGCCAGAAGTAGCTCTCTCTCCAGTCTTTACTGTCAGATGTCACTCTCTCCAGTCTTTACTGTCAGATGTAGCTCTCTCTCCAGTCTTTACTGCCAGATGTCACTCTCTCCAGTCTTTACTGCCAGATGTAGCTCTCTCTCCAGTCTTCACTGCCAGATGTAGCTCTCTCTCCAGTCTTTACTGTCAGATGTAGCTCTCTCTCCAGTCTTCACTGTCAGATATAGCTCTCTCCAGTCTTTACTGTCAGATTTCACTCTCTCTCCAGTCTTTACTGTCAGATGTAGCTCTCTCTCCAGTCTTTACTGTCAGATGTAGCTCTCTCTCCAGTCTTTACTGCCAGATGTAGCTCTCTCCAGTCTTTACTGTCAGATGTATCTCTCTCCAGGCTTTACTGTCAGATGTAGCTCTCTCTCCAGTCTTTACTGTCAGATGTAGCTCTCTGTCCAGTCTTTACTGTCAGATATAGCTCTCTCTCCAGTCTTTACTGTCAGATGTAGCTATCTCCAGTCCTAACTGTCAGATGTAGCTCTCTCTACAGTCTTTACTGTCAGATGTAGCTCTCTCCAGTCCTTACTACCAGATGTAGCTCTCTCTCCAGTCTTTACTGTCAGAAGTCACTCTCTCTCCAGTCTTTACTGTCAGATGTAGCTCTCTCCAGTCCTTACTGTCAGATGTAGCTCTCTCTCCAGTCTTCACTGCCAGATGTAGCTCTCTCTCCAGTCTTTACTGTCAGATGTAGCTCTCTCCAGTCTTTACTGTCAGATGTAGCTCTCTCCAGTCTTTACTGTCAGATGTCACTCTCTCTCCAGTCTTTACTGTCAGATGTAGCTCTCTCTCCAGTCTTTACTGCCAGATGTAGCTCTCTCTCCAGTCTTTACTGCCAGATGTAGCTCTCTCTCCAGTCTTTACTGTCAGATGTAGCTCTCTCTCCAGTCTTTACTGCCAGATGTAGCTCTCTCTCCAGTCTTTACTGTCAGATGTAGCTCTCTCCAGTCTTTACTGTCAGATGTAGCTCTCTCTCCAGTCTTTACTGTCAGATGTAGCTCTTTGTCCAGTCTTTACTGTCAGATGTAGCTCTCTCTCCAGTCTTTACTGTCAGATGTAGCTATCTCCAGTCCTAACTGTCAGATGTAGCTCTCTCTCCAGTCTTTACTGTCAGATGTAGCTCTTTCTCCAGTCTTTACTGTCAGATGTAGCTCTTTGTCCAGTCTTTACTGTCAGATGTAGCTCTCTCTCCAGTCTTTACTGTCAGATGTAGCTATCTCCAGTCCTAACTGTCAGATGTAGCTCTTTGTCCAGTCTTTACTGTCAGATGTAGCTCTCTCTCCAGTCTTTACTGTCAGATGTAGCTCTCTCTCCAGTCTTTACTGTCAGATGTCACTCTCTCTCCAGTCTTTACAGTCAGATGTAGCTCTCTCTCCAGTTTTTACTGTCAGATGTAGCTCTCTCCAGTCTTTACTGTCAGATGTAGCTCTCTCTCCAGTCTTTACTGTCAAATGTAGCTCTCTCTCCAGTCTTTAATGTCAGATGTAGCTCTCTCTCCAGTCTTTACTGTCAGATGTAGCTCTCTCTCCAGTCTTTACTGTCAGATGTAGCTCTCTCTCCAGTCTTTACTGTCAGATGTAGCTCTCTCTCCAGTCTTTACTGTCAGATGTAGCTCTCTCTCCAGTCTTTACTGTCAGATGTAGCTCTCTCTCCAGTCTTTACTGTCAGATGCAGCTCTCTCTCCAGTCTTTACTGTCAGATGTAGCTCTCTCTCCAGTCTTTACTGTCAGATGTAGCTCTCTCTCCAGTCTTTACTGCCAGAAGTAGCTCTCTCTCCAGTCTTTACTGTCAGATGTCACTCTCTCCAGTCTTTACTGTCAGATGTAGCTCTCTCTCCAGTCTTTACTGCCAGATGTCACTCTCTCCAGTCTTTACTGCCAGATGTAGCTCTCTCTCCAGTCTTCACTGCCAGATGTAGCTCTCTCTCCAGTCTTTACTGTCAGATGTAGCTCTCTCTCCAGTCTTCACTGTCAGATATAGCTCTCTCCAGTCTTTACTGTCAGATGTCACTCTCTCTCCAGTCTTTACTGTCAGATGTAGCTCTCTCTCCAGTCTTTACTGTCAGATGTAGCTCTCTCTCCAGTCTTTACTGCCAGATGTAGCTCTCTCCAGTCTTTACTGTCAGATGTATCTCTCTCCAGTCTTTACTGTCAGATGTAGCTCTCTCTCCAGTCTTTACTGTCAGATGTAGCTCTCTGTCCAGTCTTTACTGTCAGATATAGCTCTCTCTCCAGTCTTTACTGTCAGATGTAGCTATCTCCAGTCCTAACTGTCAGATGTAGCTCTCTCTACAGTCTTTACTGTCAGATGTAGCTCTCTCCAGTCCTTACTACCAGATGTAGCTCTCTCTCCAGTCTTTACTGTCAGAAGTCACTCTCTCTCCAGTCTTTACTGTCAGATGTAGCTCTCTCCAGTCCTTACTGTCAGATGTAGCTCTCTGTCCAGTCTTTACTGTCAGATGTAGCTCTCTCCAGTCTTTACTGCCAGATGTAGCTCTCTCCAGTCTTTACTGTCAGATGTCACTCTCTCTCCAATCTTTACTGTCAGATGTAGCTCTCTCCAGTCCTTACTGTCAGATGTAGCTCTCTGTCCAGTCTTTACTGTCAGATGTAGCTCTCTCCAGTCTTTACTGCCAGATGTAGCTCTCTCCAGTCTTTACTGTCAGATGTAGCTCTCTCTAAAGTCTTTACTGTCAGATGTAGCTCTCTCTCCAATCTTTACTGTCAGATGTAGCTCTCTCCAGTCCTTACTGTCAGATGTAGCTCTCTGTCCAGTCTTTACTATCAGATGTAGCTCTCTCTCTCCAGTCTTTACTGTCAGATGTAGCTCTCCAGTCTTTACTGTCAGATGTAGCTCTCTCTCCAGTCTTTACTGTCAGATGTAGCTCTCTCTCCTGTCTTTACTGTCAGATGTAGCTTTCTCTCCAGTCTTTACTGTCAGATGTCACTCTCTCTCTCCAGTCTTTACTGTCAGATGTAGCTCTCTCCAGTCCTTACTGTCAGATGTAGCTCTCTGTCCAGTCTTTACTGTCAGATGTAGCTCTCTCCAGTCTTTACTGCCAGATGTAGCTCTCTCCAGTCTTTACTGTGAGATGTAGCTCTCTCTAAAGTCTTTACTGTCAGATGTAGCTCTCTCTCCAGTCTTTACTGTCAGATGTAGCTCTCTCCAGTCCTTACTGTCAGATGTAGCTCTCTCTCCAGTCTTTACTATCAGATGTAGCTCTCTCTCCAGTCTTTACTGTCAGATGTAGCTCTCTCTCCAGTCTTTACTGTCAGATGTAGCTCTCTCTCCAGTCTTTACTGTCAGATGTAGCTCTCTCTCCAGTCTTTACTGTCAGATGTAGCTCTCTCTCCAGTCTTTACTGTCAGATGTAGCTCTCTCTCCAGTCTTTACTGTCAGATGTAGCTCTC